CTTGTCCTTGCCCTCAATGATATGAGGCTCTAGGACCGGACCAAAAAGGTGGGTGCCACTGTACCTAGATGTTGCTAAGCGCCACTTTGCCTTTAAATCCGTGCGCCATTGCTTCAACCAGAGCAGCCTACGTGATGCCACTGAGGCTGCAATGGATCTGGCTGAACATCTAGCCGAGTGTAAGGATGCATCCGCAATGTATTCGGATGCTGCCACTATTTTCCCTATTGTTTGGTGCGCTCTGACCTGATCCGGCGGAATGAGCGTCTGGAGTTCCTGCAACCACATAATTGCCGAGCGTGCAAAGAAGGAGGATGAGGTTGCCGCCCTTATGGCCCAAGCCGAAGATTGGTGAGCTCTACGAAAAGAGAACTCGAACTTTTTGTCCTCTGCCTTCAAGAATTCAGCCATGTCCCCCGGGACGGCGGTATTGGAGAACAGAGAGGTCAGCGGAGCGTCTACAGATGGGACTTCTAGAAGAGAAGCGAAAGAAGAAGAGACATTGTAAAGTTTCTTGTCTAAACTGCTCTGTGAAGGAGTGGTAGCAAGGGATGCCCACTGCTTTTCCACCGTAGACCTGAAGACTAGTGGGCATGGAATCTGCGGTTCCTCCTTGACCTTTTCCGCAAACAGAGGGTTGGCTTCCCGGTTGGATGAGGAAGAAGGAGTCTCCTCCTGGGCTGAGGTAAGTTTTACCGTGTCAATAGCCCTTACGAGGAGTGACCGAAAAATGGCCGGATCGAAAAGCCCGGAAGAGGTCACCTGTTCAGGAGCTGGATCCTCCTCCTCAGACAAGGGAGTGTCTGCAACTCCCAGTTCCACTGATCCCTCCTCCCCTAATTGTGAGGATGTCTCCGAAACAGCAGAGCTAGGTCTAGTATCACGCTCCACCAGAGGTGGGGGAATAGATGCGGGAGGAGTAGGATGGGACTGCACCTGGCTACTCTCAGTTGATGACATAAACTGCCTGAATGCTTGGTGCATGAAGGCCTGGAATTGAGCCTGGGACCACATTTCCCCTTGGTCCCTGGAACTGACCCCAACCTCCGTTGAGGCACACCTGGTCTCAGGTGGTTGGTGTGCTGATGAAGGAGAGGAGCGAGGAGGACCTACCTGCTCGGTTTCCCCCCGAGGAGACCAAGGTCTTGGGGCATCCTGAGATGATTCAAATTGAGGTTCTGTCAAAGGAGCATCCAGTGGGGCGGGGGAAACCGTTTCAGTCCCACTGGATCTGAGCCTTTGTGCCTTGGAGAATTCTCTCTCCAATGCTAAGTGTCTCCTTGTGGCCTCTCGCCCGGCTGATTTGGAAGTATCTTTGGAAGACAGATGTTTGGTTTTAGCTTTTTTCTCCCCCCCCCATGTCCAATTCTTCAGATCTGCGCTTTGCTTGAGCGGGGGGGACACTAGATTGAGAAGCCTGGGGCGAGGAGCTGTCTGCCATTGCTGTCTAGGTATTCCTGGACAGTAGTACCTAGAAATGGGGGGAGGAACCCAACACGCAGATCACAGTCAGAGATGGAAAACCGATCCTCGCTCTGAACAGAAGGCAATGGCAAGAACAGCCAGACAGTGTTCTAATGCTGCCTGTACAGGCCTTGTGACAAAAGGTCACGGGCTAAACTGAGAAACAGGTGGACAATAAAGGAATCTCTTTGCTCTTCTCTTCTAGGCTTTAGGACCAGTTAATAACACCTTGGTCTACTCAAATGCAGCCAAGGCCCACACCTGAAGTAGCCCCCTCAAGTTTGACCACAACTCCTGTGGATACAAAAATATCTTCCCCCCTGAACAGGTCTGCTCACAGACCAAGTGACACAGGCAACAACTATGCGTCTGCAATAATGCAGGAATAACTGCCAATGATTATGCAAAAATTTCTATTAGGCCTCCAAAATGGCGTCCGCCACGTGGGACCTCTAGAAGCAGCCGCGCTAGACCATGTGGTCAAAATGGCGGCCGCCAGGCCTTAAGGCCTGGAGAAGCAAAACCCTGTCGTATTTTAAACAGGAGAATCAATTACACAGCAGGGGAATACAAGGCTGATTTGGGATTCCTCCCCCAGTCCCCAAGCACTTGCGATTAGTAGCGCAGCCCCTGCTGCGATCCAGATAAAGCTGCAGTCAGGAATTCTCCCTCAAGGCCTCGAGGCAAGTAAATCACTCAGGAGGTCTCCGAGTTGAAAAGCCGACCTCCGCTACCCAGCTGAATTGGCGGAATCGCAGAGGCTACAGATCGTCGGAACGGGAGCTCCCTAACAAACGAAGCCTGCAGCCTCCTTTTCAAAGCCCAAAGGGCTGCAGGGGAGGGAGGACAGAGTCCCTATCCCCCCCAACGCAATCCTCTTAATTTGGAAGTGAAGCCGAATTAATCTAATTGTTAATCAATTTGAATTTAAAGTATCCAATTTTAATTTGAATAGCCTAAAAGAAAAAAGGAAAGAATCAAACTTAGCTAGGAGCCTTCTGAAAAGCGTCTTGCTGAGCACGAGACTAAGACAAAAACTGGGAAGTCACACCCAGAAGGAGGCGTGGCAGAGTTTTTTTGTCTTAGTCTGAGCAGGTGGGATTAAATTACCCAATCAGTGGAGTCTACATCCATCCTGATGGAGAAAAGTATATGATTATTACAGCAGCTTTTGAAGACAAATGGATTTACAAATATGCCATATATATATATAGTCCTCAATTAATGACCACAACTGAGCCCAAAATTTCTGTTTTATATGAGACAGTTGAGTTTTGCCTCATTTTCTCTCTTTGTTGTCAGTTGTTAAATGAATCACTACAACTATTAAGTTGGTAATATGGTTAAGTGAATCTGGCTTCCTAATTTAACTTTGCTTGTGTCAGAATGTCAAAAAAGGTTCACCTGACCCCAGGACACTGCAACCAACACAAATACAAGCCAGTCGGCAAGTATTCAAATTCTGATCATGTGATCAGAGATGCTGCAACGGCCATGTGAAAAATGGTCATAAGTCACTTTTATCAGTGCATTGTAACTTCAAATGGTCACTAAATGAATGGTGTGACTTCCTGTATAAAACTTTCAAGACATGTATCAAAATGATTGAAAAATAGTAAATTCCCCAAAGGCTAACAGATACCAGAACAATTAGATCAATTATTCTTCAACAGACTAGATCAAGGATACAAACCTGTTTTATTTCTCAGTCTCATCAGCTTGGTTCCTGAAAGGATCCAGTGACAATAGGATTTCCAAGCCTAGATATTAACAGTAGGGACTAGGTGGAACCATCACTTTGTGTGCTTATAAACCAGCATTTAGTCATTTATCCATACAGAAGGGTTACCTTGCAAAAAAACCCATATATCTACATGAAAATGTCTTTCATCAAAAGTATCTTACTTCTAGCATATCATCCTTCAGTATTTGCTTCCACAAATAACTGTACCTTTTATGAAGATGTACTGGAAGCCATGTGGGAAGTATTCGCCAGAATTAAGTGAATAGTTAACTAGATTGGATACAAAAAGATAAGATAGTTGCCTGAGGGAAGGCAAACAAAACAATTGAGGTCTTTGATCTACCATCTTCTCTCAATCTTCAAAGGACACTTAGGAATGAAAATTATTTTGAGAAAAAATTTTCTTCCTTGCATTAAGATGGACTTAGCAAGTTTTCTTCAGATAGCATACGTTCATGCTGAAAATTAACTTACTGGAAGCACACAAAGCATGCCCACTTAAAAACAGATAACTTAGATACAACATACATAAGAGGTCACACTCCCTTATTCTCCAATAGGTAAGTTCAGCTTAGACAGATAACTGTCTGAGAGAATTTTAGGCTGCATGAATCCTGACCACCACCAGATATCAGTACAGCGATCTAGAAAATCCCAACTTGATGCATTTAGAAGATGTCCTGAATATCTCCTTCCAGTTTGAACTACTGGTGGTAGCCTGATAGAACTGTGGTGCAATTTGGAATTGTATTTCAAAAAGATACAGGAACGCTTTGAACAAGCTGCCTCTTTTCTAGGGATCACATGGTTGCTGGGATTAATTTAACAAAACAAGAGAGCAGTTTTTTTGTATCTTTGCAGCTGTTTTCACCTAATTACAATTAATATCTACCTTTAAAAACCCGCTAGCTTCATGAAAAACTGTTTAGAACAGAGAAGAAAAACATTATTACTGTTATTTATTGAAGTTGGAGGTAGACAAGAAAAGCATTGCAAAGAATTTACAATACATTTAATCTACAACATGGTTGTATTTACATTTAATTTTAAAAGAAAGTAATTACTTTTTTTTTATTCCTGAGTTTCTCACCATTAACAGAATTGATAAATAAAAGGAACGGCATGCTGTTTTTCCAAGTCAATAGTCATTATTTTATGAAGGCTTATTTTTACCAGAGAGATGGATTATTTCAATAATCATTAACCATTTTTCATACATGTTTTTTAAAGGAGCATATTCACAATTACAGAAGGTTGAGTTTGGGATTCTAGATTTCTTTCATTGAAAGAACCCTGCATAGTAAAACAAATATGCAAAAAGAAAGCAGTGAATTTAGATAAAATTCAGCACACAGAGATGACAGGAAACAAACATTGTACGTTTTGCACGTAAAGATGTCCCTGTTTTAATTAGAGGCAGTTTATCAAATTTCAAGCAACACATCTAGGAAGTATTATTAGGTTAAACCTTTGTATTACCTTTGTTAGTTACAATAGGAAGCATTGAACTAGATAATCTGATTTAATCAAAATGTCATCTAATCTGATTTTCAGTGCATATGAACATGTGTACAAACATACACATACACTCTACTCCATGCTTGCATTTCCAAGTAAGAATGCTGAAGGAAACCTTATGTTTTCTTGTCTTTCTTTCTTTCTTTCTTTCTTTCTGAGACTTATATACCACTTTAAGTGCAAGCACTCTCTAAGCGGTGTACACCAGTAAGCAATGTATATATATATTTACATTGCCCCCAACAATCTGGGTCCTCATTTTACCTACCCCGGAAGGATGGAAGGCTGAGTCAACCTTGAGCCGGTGAGATTTGAACCGCTGACCTGCTGAACACAGTCAACTAAAGTGGCCTGCAGTACTGCACTCTAACTGCTGCGCCACCTCGGCTCTTCACTTGTCATGTACTTCTTTTTAGACTAAATAAAACTGACCACCCAATGTTTTCCCTTGAAATCAAGTATGTAAAGTTCCATTGTAGAAAAAGATCTACAAAAGATCTCTAGCATAAACATGCTCAGTAATTGTTTGGCAATTAGATTATAATATTTCAGATAATCTCTGTTTGATGAGCTGGTTGAGGAGCTTTGGGCCATCGTAAGATTCAGGAACTCGAATGTAAATTTCCCATTTTCATAAGGTCCATATTGCTAGTTGCAACTCTGATGCTCAATACGCACATTATGAGTTATCTTCTAATTAGCTGAGAGCACACAGTGAAGGAAACTGCTATAGTTTTCAAATACAAACTATACACTAGAAGGAAGAGAAGGGACTGCAGAATCTAGAGGTGGTCATGAGGCAGAATGAAACATTCACATAATCATATAATCTCATTTATAAAGGCACTAGCTTCCAAACAAATATTTAAAATATAGGTAACTGGTTCTCAACAAGTGTGCATGGACCCAGTATATGTTAAATACAGGCAGTCCTCAACTTATGACCATTTAATGATGGTTCAAGGTTACAGCAGCCTTGGAAAAAGCAATTTACAATCTGTACTTTCACTTATGACTGTTGCATCATCCCTGCACAATTGGCTCACATTTACGACTGACTGCAGCACCCTGCAGTCACGTGATCACAATTTGTGTTTGCCAATTTCAGGCAAAAAATGTCCATTGAGAAAGCTGGATTTGCTTACTGATCGTGTGATTCACTTAACAATTGTGTTGATTCACTTAATGATGGCTGTAAAAATTATCATAAAATCAGATTTGATTTAACTTACAATCACAATGATTTATGATGGAAATTCTGATTCTAATTGTGGCCGTAAGTCGAGTACTACCTGTAATTGAAGCATACCTTGAAAAATATCGTAATAGAGATGATCCATCTTAGGAAAAAAAGTTTTGTTTCTCTTATAATAGAACTAAGGGTCTTTTAAAGAGGGACTGCTGTAATTTACGATATAAAAAGTTTTGAGCCCAATGGCTTCAAAATTCATATTAAAATGGTTACATCTCATTTATATATAAAAGATTTATATAATTATATACATATATACATATACATTTACATAACATTTACAGTCTTTTATTTACTCAGTTTTTAAACAAACACACAACTTGAGGTTATACTACTGTTTCTTTTGACTCAGACAACTGAAGTGGCTTAAAGTTTACAACTTCTTTATATGTGATACCTGGAAAAGTTAAAGAAACACAAAAATATTCATGTTAGATTCAGGAAAACATTTTTTTTAAAAAAGCAAAATTTATTAAGATGGTGCAGTAATCCAGACTTGGGAGAAGGAGGAAAGCGATCTGCAGCTTGGTGTAGGCAAGCATGTCACACTTGTTCATGAAAATTGTTTATCTTTTCCTGAGATCTTATAATTGTGTTAATAAGTCTATTAACCAATATCATCAGTAGCTTAGTTTGAGGTCTCCCATTTAGCTATAGCTGAACTTTTAAAACACTATTACAGTCAATTCTAGAATGACAGCAATAAATTAATCTAATATATATATATATATATATATATATATATATATATATATATATATATATATATATATATATATATATATATATAATGCTAAAAATATGAACCCTGGGAGTATTCATATCAAAAATAAAATGAACACCAGGGTAGTAAAACTATAAAAGTTTAATTAAAAAGCGCCAAGCTTTCGCCGTCCCTGCCGGCATCATCAGGGCTAGAGCGCCAGAAAGTGTGAGAGTTTTTTATAGGCAAGTCAGAGTCTGCGCCCGGCTCCTCGATCTCGTCACCGGGCCTAATTGATTCAACTGTGCTTGATTGGTTTGTTTCTTCCTATTCCTCTTAGTTACGTGTATGTTGTCGTCTCTCCTCCTTTCCTTCGATTCTGGGATGGGTGGGATAACTCCCCTACCGTTCAAATTATCTCTGTTCTTCAACCCATCCTCCCCATCAGGTTTGAGTGGTAATGTACACTTCCCCTTCCTTTCCCAATCATCATCCGCTCGGCTGTTCTTTTTGCGATAGTCTTCTCTTTTAACTTTAGTACTTTCTCCTCCCATCCAACTGTCATCTGGGCAATCCTGTAAGTCGTTCTGAGTTGGCTGCGATATGCTGGTGATCTGGGACAGGTTGATGGATTGTTTGTCTACTGGGGGGGGGGCGGTCCCCTGGCTGTGATTACATTCAGTCGTCTTACTCCTCCTCTCCCTTTCCTGAGCCTCCTGTGTTCCTTTCGCACGCGTTATAATTCGGAGGCCTGGGGGAGGTAGTGGAATTACGATCTTCTCGAGTGCCGCCGTGCTTCTCTTTCGCTCTCCTCTCCCTTCTAATGTCACTCGTGGCTTTATGGGCTGTCGGATGGTTGCTCTCAAAATGGAGAATCCTACCCGTACATGTTGATTTTCGGTATACCCTGGTGGTCAGACATCCATCCAGTTGGCGCTGCACCAGTACATCCAAGAATGCTTATGTGCCCTGATTTTCTTCCTCCATGTGAACTGGATGTCTGAGTATACCGAATTCAAAATGCCCATGAAGTCAGTCTTGTGTTGCTTCTTGACAACTACAAATGCGCACATGGGCACGAGCGACGTTAGAAGGGAGAGGAGAGCGAAAGAGAAGCACGGCGGCACTCGAGAAGATCGTAATTCCACTACCTCCCCCAGGCCTCCGAATTATAACGCGTGCGAAAGGAACACAGGAGGCTCAGGAAAGGGAGAGGAGGAGTAAGACGACTGAATGTAATCACAGCCAGGGGACCGCCCCCCCCCAGTAGACAAACAATCCATCAACCTGTCCCAGATCACCAGCATATCGCAGCCAACTCAGAACGACTTACAGGATTGCCCAGATGACAGTTGGATGGGAGGAGAAAGTACTAAAGTTAAAAGAGAAGGCTATCGCAAAAAGAACAGCCGAGCGGATGATTGGGAAAGGAAGGGGAAGTGTACATTACCACTCAAACCTGATGGGGAGGATGGGTTGAAGAACAGAGATAATTTGAGCGGTAGGGGAGTTATCCCACCCATCCCAGAATCGAAGGAAAGGAGGAGAGACGACAACATACACGTAACTAAGAGGAATAGGAAGAAACAAACCAATCAAGCACAGTTGAATCAATTAGGCCCGGTGACGAGATCGAGGAGCCGGGCGCAGACTCTGACTTGCCTATAAAAAACTCTCACACTTTCTGGCGCTCTAGCCCTGATGATGCCGGCAGGAACGGCGAAAGCTTGGCGCTTTTTAATTAAACTTTTATAGTTTTACTACCCTGGTGTTCATTTTATTTCTTGATATGAATACTCCCAGGGTTCATATTTTTAGCATTATTAACTATATATATATATATATATATATATATATATATATATATATATATATATATATATATATATATATATATATATAACATCTTGTGGGCTATATATATATATATATAATAAAACATCTTGAAATTTGGGCTCTATTTTATAAATTTGAATCCTGATGGTGATAGCTTTTGCGATTATATATTTCAGGTATTTTAAGCATTCAATGCCTAGAAATCAAAAGGGTGCAGTTTCCCCTCCTCTTGCTTCACTGACTATCAGAAAAAGAGCCAGTTTGCTCTTACTATTTCAAAAGCCATCTGATACACAAAGTAGCTGATGATTTTCATGAAATGGAAGTATATTGCTTGCACACATAGCCCTGCAAGATTGAAAACAATTTAGCCACCTTAATGAGCATGAGTCTCTGATTAAAACACATTGGGACAGAAAAAAACTCCCCAATTAATTCTTGTAATGCGAAATTTACAGAATGCTGTCAGCAAAGAATATTTTTTCCCTCATAAGGCAGTTTTAATAATTACTATTAAATTTATATCATGCCATTTCTGCTTATAGAAGCTTTCACAGCGATTTACATTTCTCCTTGCTGTTCACTCATTTCTTGCCCATCCATGTATATTCAAGTCCTTTGTAGAACTGATCCTAGGAAAGACATTTGTCTAAGAGTTTAGAACGTTAATTAGAAAAGAGGAAATAATATAGGTCAAAAAGACAGAATGGAACAGCAAGGACAAAGTATTTTTGAGTCTCATTTAATGCAGCAGATTCCTCAGTTCCCCTGAATTATATTTTAATTAAAATGTATAAAAATCTATTTGTAGAATATAGATAAGATTTCCTACACCAATCTCATCTTCATTAGAAGACTGCTATTCAACACAACAATTCCAAACATACACTTCCATTCATCCAGGGGCATATCCATGTTGTCAAAAGTGTCATCATATTTCTCTGCTTTGTTTTCCTCTTCGGGATCATGAATGGTTTCGAAATAAGAATGTGCCAAAGCTTCACTTGCTGTTATTCTCTTCTCTGGGTCTAACACCAGCATCTTTTCCAACAGGTTTACAGCTGGATCAACAAATTAGAAAGGAGATTTAAGGACAAACTCTCTGGAAATAGATCAAACATGTACTTAATATTTTGGGTAAGTTCTGCATCTTCTAGAGATCATGTAGTTGTTCAAAGACCAGAAGCCCAAAGAACTGTAATTTATAATAAAGTATATCTAGCAGGAAAAGCTTACCTTTATTAGCCAGATAATCTGACATTTATGAAGAAATTATTGAGAAAATAATTCTACAATGAAATTTTCACAGGAAACAAAAAAATCTTGAAAGTTTTTTTTATGTAGGATAGAAGATAACTCAACCTGTTTACTATCTTGATATCACATAATTTTCTAATATACTACATCCATCAATATTTAACTTACCTAAAGGGTTTACATTTTTCAAAATGGCAGCAAAATCTTTTTTCTGTACTTGTGGAAGGCTTTTGATATAATTTTTTGCCTTAAAATAAATAGACACAAAGATTATTGGATATGAATTGTTATCAATTTAGGAAAAGAAACGAAGAAAAAGAAATTAGATGCCATCAAACTGGATTTCATTCCTAGTGAATATATGGAAAAAAATGCACTTGTGGAATACAACTCATTACATATGAGTTCACTTTGGATCTGAAGATCCTAAATTAATTCATACACAATTTGCATACTTTCAATAATTTCTATAGTTTAAGATAATTTTAATTTTTCAGACCACAGATGCAGGCAAATCATAAATCATGGAAGTGTGTATGTGTGTGTGTGTGTGTGTGTGTGTGTGTGTGTGTGTATATGTACACATACACATAAAGGTAAAGGTTTCCCCTTTCCAGTCGTGTCCAATTCTAGGGGGCGGTGCTTATTTCTGTTTCTTAGCCAAGGGAGCCAGCATTGTCTGAAGACACTTCCGTGATCATATGGCCAGCATGACAATATACTGAGGCACACAGAATGGAAGTGGTACCTATTTATCTATTTATGTTTTGCATGCTTTTGAACTGCTAGGTGGGCAGGAGCTGGGGCAAGTAACAGGAACTCACCCCATTGCATGACGCTCAGATCTCAAATCCAGGCTGTCAGCTCTCAGACAAGTTCAGAATTTTTAACCGCTGAGCCACGGCATCCCCTACATATATCTATATATACATAAAGTCAGCTCCTTTATTATATTCTGAACTGGCTATAATAAATGAATTAAAATTGGGCAGAAATTGTTGATCCCCACGTTCAAGGTTCTCTTGGCAAACATAACTGAAACACATAACCTGTCTTTCAAGGATATTAGAGCTTCTGATGAGCTTACTACAGAAAAGCTTATAAGGCCACTACAAAGGAAAGTGCTAATGGTTCTCGACTTACAACCATTCGTTTAGTGAATGTTTGAAGTTACAATGGCACTGGAAAAAGTGACTTACAACCAATCCTTGCACTTACAACATCGCAACATCGCCATGATCACTTTATCAAAATTTGGGCTTTGGCAATTGGCATGTATCTATGACAGATGCAGTACCTGGGGTCATGTGGTTGCCATCTGCAAGCTTCCCGGACAGCTTCCAACAAGCAAAGTTAATGTGGGAGGCCAGATTTGCTTAATACCTGGGTTATTATTTTAACAACTACAAGTGATTTGCTTAACAAAAAGTTTGTAAAATTGAGTGTGACTCACTTAACAATTGCTTAGCAACAGAAATTCTGGACTCAATTGTGGTCATAAATCAAGGATTACCTTTATACAATGTAAGTCAAGTTTTACATTCTTGCACCTCTTATTTTTGTCTGTGTGATTTTTAATTTTTATTAGTCAAATTTATATAGCTGTTCATTTTATCAGAAGTGATGTCAGAAATCTCTATCTCATTCTACTGATTAGGATAAACAGTTTCCACCTATCTCTTTCTTTGATTTCAGATCATTTTCTTGAGATCATGTGACAATTTGTTCTTACATCAATCATATATAACATGGAAAAGGGAAGTTCAGCAACATCTGAAGGGTAAATAATCACAATAAGTAAAGTTTCAAACAGAAGTTGCCTGAAATATTTCTTTTTAAAAATTAGAACCATGTAAAATTTCTTACGATATATAGATTTTAAGATAGCAATCATTTATATCAGGGGTGTCAAACTGGCAGCCCATGGGCCGCATGCATCATGCACAAGCCACACCCACCCCAGCTCCGCAAAGGAAAAAAAATGTCGCAATATGTCACGTGACGCGATCGAGTTTGACACATATGATTTATATTAATGGGATACTGATGACTTTGAATAAAAATGTGTATGAAAAAAAACCCAACTAAAAAAAGTTTCTAATAGTTTCTAACCAAATTTCCTTGGTTTGCTGTTTTCTATGCTCTGTTAAAAGAAAATCTCAAAATAGTACCAGTATATTTAAGTACCACAGAACCATCTATTTCTGAACCTGCTCATGTAAATTTTGCAAAAGCAGCAACTTACATCTTGGCTTTGTAGTTTCTGAACAAAATCCTGAGCTGGTGTGCCTGTAACTTTCATAATTTCTGTAAGCTGGTCCAGATCTGAATGTCAAAGTCAGGAATCAAATATTCAGTCAGCATGTCATTTAAAAAATAATATAATTGATCTGATTTTCTTACTTTTGAAATCAAACCATATAACATGTATACTTCATGTATTTTTTCACAACTAGTGGCAGTTGGTTAGGAATTAACAACTATTTTTGGTCATCTCTTTGTGTATTCTCAAGCTAACAATTTGTAAAAGCTTTTATAACTGCCAGGACCCCCTCATAATCATATTTTCGGCGCTCTGCTATTCTGACAGGAGGGGGACTCACGGATGTATTTCCTTTATTTTGTTCTCTCTACATTTTGATGTATCGCTTTGGATGTGAAGAAGGGGAAGAATGTGCCAGGAGCCATCTGCCTTATCTCTGAGACATTGTAAAAAGAAGACACAGGGCCTGGGAACCATCCCTTATCATTCCAGTTCCCATAACTTCACACCTGTAGATTGGCTGGAAGAGCGCTGAAAGGTTGGACACTGGGGGGAGGGTTTGTCAAGGAAAACCTTAATGTAACAATTTACTTGGGACTTCCTCAGATCTTGCTTTGCCTTTCTGCTTTCACTGACTCTCAATAAAAGTTAACAAAGCTTTCTTTCTTTGTTAAACTAGTATCAATGACCTTGTCGTCCAAATATTGAAGATAGAAAGCTGTTTGTCTTTAAACACTGATTTTTCATAACTCATTATGAGCCTCTAAAAATGCCCATTGACATAAACTGCATCAACACATATAAAATAAACTAAAGTGCAACCCATATGCCAAATATTGGAGCCAAAAATGTGATGTTCAACCAGCATTTAATTATATTTAATTTAATTATAATAGAGTCCTGGTGGAGCAGTAGTTAAAATGCAGTATTGCAGGCAAACTCTGCCCACAGCCTGAAGTTCGATCCTGACATGGCTAGAGCCTTCCATCCTTCCAAGATCGGTAAAAAGAGGACCCAGATTGTTGGATGCAAGGTGTAAATAATGTTTCTTCATTGCAAACTGCCCAGAGAGTGCTATGGGTTGGTATAAGCCTAAATGTTATCACTATTGCTATGAGGTGGGACAAACTTTTAATCTCACAACTTTCTGGCAAAGCTACAGAACTCCAAAACTGGCTTGATGTTTGCAAATAAATAGCTCAACTGATCATTTTTCACTTGAAGTGACTACAAAGTGACTAATACCTGAGTTTTTGCATATTTCTCCAACTTAATGTGAAGCATTCATCAAGAAAGGATACGATCATTGCCCTTGAAAAGGGGCCTTCCTGTTACCATCTCAGCCATTATACACCCCACTGACCAGATATCCACTGAAATACAGAAAATGCACCTATTAAATTGGTGTGAGCAGCATCTAAATTCAGCTCATCAATCAACCACAAAACCTTTAAAAAGAAAGCAACAACACAAAACCAGTGTTTTGTGATTTGTAACTGAAAATGTGTATTCTGTTTCTACAATTTCAATAGTTCAATGAATGCTTTTGAGAATCTTGATGGTCTGATTTACAGGCATCTTCTTTCTTTCAAAGTTTATGTTCTTTAGCATTGATGAAGCAGCTAGGTATGATCCGAATTAAAGCTGTCTGTTGTGCCAGCTCTTTATTACATTTTAAATTTTTATGTAAGGAGCTCAGCTTAATATAGTCTCATTTCCATTTTATCTGCTCATAAATCTTGTGTTAGACTGAAAAAAAAAATAATCAGGTCCAGTGAGTTCTGTGAATCAGTAGGCTACTATTTTTTAAAAATAAAAATAACACTTCTATGGTTGGTTTATTATTGTGAAATGAGTTTCCTGGAAGTACCAGCTTCCCTTGTCAGAAATGCAATCAGTAGTAATTAATACTTAAAATTAGCACAGAGAAAATAATTGTTGGTCTAAGTCAGCGGTTCTCAACCTATGGGTCGCGACCCCATTTGGGGTCGATCGACCTCTTTTGTGGGGTCGCCAAACGCGGCGATCCGCCATTTTGTCCCCTCTGGGGGCACGCTGCGCCTCCCGGGGGGCGGTGCCGCGCACGCGCGCTGCGCGTGGGGGCGGCGGCGCGCCTCCGGGGGGCGCCACCGCGCATGCACGCTGCGCGTGGGGGCGGTGCCACGCCTCCGGGGGCGCCACCACGCATGCGCGCCGCGTGTGGGGGCGGCGCCACGCCTCCGGGGGTGGCACCGCGCATGCGCGCCGCGCACGGGGGCCCGCCCCCATGCGCGCTGCGCGTGGGCCCCGCCCCCATGCGCGCCACGCCGCACATGCGCATAACGTTTGTGTGACGGGGGTCGCCGTCACACAAACGTTGAGAACCGCTGGTCTAAGTCTTCAGGATAGCATTTGGAGAAAGAGGAAGACGAGGAAATTGTGGGAGAGATCCTATGTAATCACAATGATATACATAGGAATACAAGCATGAAAGGCAATACAGGTAATCTTCATTTAATTATGGTAATTGGAACTGCAGGGTATGTGATGGTTTGTGAAGGTTAGGTGAGGTTTGGGGTGGCTACTCCAGGATGAGAGAGACTGAGATTTTGCGTATGGAACTTTGCTTGTGGGAAGACGGCAAGGAACGTTGCAAATGGCAATCATGTGACTGCAGACACTGCTACCATTGTAACCACAAGCCAGTTGCCAGGTGCCCAGGTTGCAAATCACGTGAGAGCGAAGGTGCTGGGAGCTGACAAAATTTTGAGAATTGGTTGTAACTCTCCTTTTACAGCGCTACTGTACCTTCAAATGGTCGATCAACAAATGATTGGTAAGCAAAGACTACGTGTAGGCAGAATTTTCAGGAGCTACATATGGCTACTCAGCTTCCAAGTCCCCACAGTAAGGGGCCACTGTTAAGAATCACTGAACAGATAGACCAGACAAGTAAAGTCAGACATTGCAGAAATGGCAAAGCCTTGAAACCCAAGAATTTCAGAAACCTATTCTGCAGATGACTAGAACTAAGATGTTTCCCTCTAGAAACGTTATGGAAATTAATATGCAAACAGCTACACTACCTGTTGTTCAATTCTTTGCAATTTTATTCAATGTCTCTGCAAATAAAACAACAGACTTTTTCAGTTAGTTAGTCTATGAAGAGATTACAAGATAGTTTTTGTAAAGCTGCTGCTCTTTCGCAATAGAAGTGATGAAATCAGTGGTTTCAGAAACCCCAGCACAGAAAAACAGTTTCTAGCAAATACAAAAATTACCTGTTTGTGTATAATGCATCCAATTAAGTATAACTTCTGGGGCTCGATACCACCTAGTAACCACATAGCCAGTCATCTCACTATCTGTATGTCTTGCCAGCCCAAAATCTAAAATCTGTTTTAGAGGAACAAAATATAATCCATTTTCATTTCTGGAATGTCATAAACACCTTGAATTGGAATGAGATTTGTTTATATTGGAAAATATCTAGTAATACATTTATCATTCTTAAATCCTATTAATTCAATGGCTTCTTCCTAAAAATGTAAACCTATTCCCTTGAAAATAGTTAGAGATCCCTAATAAGCTACATTACATTTCTGTCTCATTGCTAAAATACATTTCTCATATCCATATATTTTCTCATTACCTTCATTCAACTTACAACATTATCCAAATAATTGATTGCAATGAAGTGATACCCTTATTTTAGAGGAATGCAAACGGTTATTTGGATTTTGTAGCCTTGTTCATATTAAATAGCATTTTTGCAAGTAAAGGACAAGAATCTTAAAGCCCTATTCATTACATGCTATTTATTCAATCATCATAAATGCAAGTTCTATATATTACATTTTTCCTGACAGTAATAGGTGGAAATCTCAGTTCACAGGAATTATTTTTTACATTATATAATCATAAAGGCAGCAAAACTAAAACCACATGAATTTGGCATATTATTCATATATTCACAGCTACTGAGAAAGCTTTGAGCTTACTTTATGCCATATAATGCAGCTGGCAGAAACAGATCCCCCCCCCCATCATCAGCTACTCCAAAATGCCATGCAAAGTGTCAAAGACCTCCGGCTCCAAGCATTACATAGGGTTCAGGGATGCTATGCCCAAAGTTGATGGAGATATAATTTGAAAATCAATCTCACTAGTCATTACTGCATGTACCAAAATGTGGAACCAATTCAATGCAATTTTTTAAAATTAAATTGTTATGATTTAAAAAAAATGAAATAAAGCACTTACAGGTAATCCTCCACTTATAGCCACAATTGGACCTGAAATCTTGTTGATTGAGATACCATGTGACCACTTTGTTCACCAACTGCAATCCTGGCTCTCTCTCTTGCAGTTGTAAAGCAATGGTGTGGGTCATTAAGGACATGGTGGAGAGAGGAGAGGGTCCAAGCCAGGGAGAACGATCACGAGAATGCTAGGTTTTGTCAGTGTTTTTGCCAGATTTGAGGACCATTCCTCCAGTGTGTGGAAGGATTTTTCCTCCCTGCATAGAGGGGAGAGAAAGTCCCTCTGCTTACTAGGGCAGGGATCCCCAACCCCCAGTCCGTGGATTGGCACCGGTCCGCGGCATGCCAACAACCGGTCTGCGCAAACAAGTGAAGCCCCATCTGAAGGCAGCATACAAAACCACACACCCCTCCAGTCTGTGGAAAAACCTTTCTACATGGAACAGGTCTATGGTGCTCAAAAGGTTGGGGGCTGCTGCACTAGGGGAATGGACGAAATCCAACATGGCTTCCATCTCAAACTTCTCTGCTGACTCCACTGACTGTTAGGCACACCCAACCAGATACACACATGCAGAGTTTGAATTAACTACTTTATTATGTTCTGTATATAATACAGGAATCTCCCCAGTCTAGCAGTCTACTTTTGGAAACCAGTAGATAAGGCTCCAAGGAGCTTAGGGAGGGTTGACCTTAGCCCTTTTGTGGTTGTACTGTGACTCCAGGCTAGCTCTGAGCTTCATTTCTTCTCCCTGCTAGGCTGGGTGCTTCCCAACACTGGCAAAGCTGGGAAAGAAAATTATAAACGGCAATCACATGATTGCAGGACATTTGGCAATTGGTTATAAATGAGAACAAGCTGCTAAGTGCTAAAAACGTAGTCATGTGATGGGAAAGAAGTGTGAGATTTTATTACAACTGGAAGCACTTTATGATCTCTAAAGCACCCATTTCAAGCCTGTAATGATTGAACAGTCATTAAATAACTGATCATAAGTTGTGGACTACCTGTAATTGCTTTATTATATTAAAGTTGCAATTTAACAGCTGGCAGGTAAGAAGCTTTGCATGTTTTCAGAGGATTTTGCTACAACATTTCCATAAAAATACTTTACACCTAACCCTCTATTTAATTCCTCTTTTTCTGTTGGAAATTCTTTTTAAAACAGTGTATCTTTTTAAACACAGACACGATGCTCTAACAAAACTTAAGCAATTTATGTTGCGTTAATGTGCTCTCCTATGGATTACTGCTTGTTAGAAAGATTGTCTTCTTTGCCATAAATTCATACAAATCCTGAACTCAGTAGCCAGCTATGGTTGTAACATATACCCCAAACTGAAGGTCATACTGAACTAACTGCTTGTAGCTTCAGTCAATCCACATTAACTCAAAAATAATTTAATTTTTTGAAGCTTTTTACATGAACCCCATCAACAGAGCCTTTATTAAGATGCTCAACTGTCTAAATGAAAGCCTTACAAAGTGAAAAGCCCTAGGGTATCTACTCATCATTGTATTCCTATTACGCCAATCTAGGAGAGCATGTTATGTTTCCAGCTTGTATCTTATTTTCCACAGCTTAATTAAAGATACCTTTTGTAAAAGACAAATAAATGGTCTTTTGTAAAAGACAAAGACCTGATTTTGCTGTATTCTTACAAATAACAGGATGAAATCCAATAATTATCTATGTAAAACATTCAAGCTTAAGCTTCTGGAAAAATGTTAACCAACTTCTTTTATAAGCAATCATCCTTACATACCATAGTATGCAATGTTGCAGAGTCTACCCTTAGTCAGGAAATCTGGAGTTAATCCAGGCACACAGACATTAACAGTCTATTACTTCACACAATAGTGCTACAGACTGTAACCTGTTCTCATTTTTAAAATGCTTTTCGCATTAGTTATATCTGACATACTTCCAGATTCCCCAGTATTTACTTCCGAAAAAGCAACTAGAGCATTCAGTTTCTTACCTTCAACTCACAGTCTTCATTAACCGCTAGGTTTCCAGGTTTTAAATCCTATGAAGATGTTTAAAACAAAAAATCTAAAAGTAAATTTATTTGTAGTTGGAAGTATTTATTTCAAAGGCAGGCATTTTTTTTAGTTGTTCAAGACAAACAATGGCCCAGAATGCAAATGGATTGATGTGTTGCCAAATATGAACATAGAGACCAATACTCAGCCAGAAGCTTCTCTGGCAGTGACTAAAAAATATATTACAGAAGACAAGGGAGCAAGCAACAGTATTAAAAAAATTCCAAAGTCAAACATGTGTGTACATATATAACTATAACATTTCCACTGAGCAAAATGAAAATATTACATGCATGCAAACATCCTGATCTCCTTTTAATCAATCACAAAAGAAACCTGTACTATTTATCATGTTTATATTGAATTGGAAATGATTATTGTAATAATTCCTGAAGGATACAGTTTGATTTGCATTTAAGCTGTAACTTTGCAAATAGTACATTAAAGAACCCAAGGAATACATCATTAAAACAGCAAAGACTTTTTCGATGAAGCCTTATAGGTATCAATAATTGAAATTGTACAAGAAACGTTATCTTTCTTTGTATATTTTAGTATAAAATTTCAGGATAAAAATTCCAAGCATTATATATGGATATATGATTGAAAAGAATCTTTCTACAAGAATATATAAACCTATCAAAAAGAAAAGCCTGAAAAGTTTTACTTACTCTATGAATTATGCCAGATGAATGGATATACTGTGGAAAGAAACAAAAAACACATTACTCATTTGCTATCGATGAAATATGTTTTTTTTTTTGTTCCAAAGCTTTTCAGAGTAATGGCAAAAACAATCCATGGGGAACCACTGTGGTGTAAGTAGTCATCCTCATCCTGATTTGACTTTCGTTTTTTTTATTTTAAAAAAGGTCTTCTGCTAAGCAAAACATCAAGCTGTAGTTTTGTCTATATTTATAGATATGCCTCAGGGCCCCACACAACCTCTTTATAGTTCTTAGGAATCAAAAATGTTTGGGGTCTTCAATGGTGCACTTTGCATGAATACCCATCTTGTTAATGGTTAAAGGTAATCTGGGCCAATAATGAGCATCTTGCAAGATTAGAGTATGAGACAGAACAGCCTCATCTGTTTGTCTTCTCATAAATGCTATTTTGTGACCTGAATGCCCTCACTATAACATTTGTTACATGAATGGGCAAGAGTTCACAGGGAACACCCCTTTTGTCAGTGTCCATGAAAAGCTTTTGAAATTAAAATTTGTCTTTCAACTCAAAAAGACCCTACCTACTGTACTTTAGCTGTGTTTTATGGAAGTTGCAATCCAACAACCTAGAAATCAATCTTTAAATTGTCAGAAATCAGATATCTAGATTGAGAAACATATGAATGGAAAACTCAAAATTCTTCTATCAAACCAAATACTATTAATGGAGGATTATTCTTTGCCGCAGACCAACAATTTACCTTACCTACATATGTAGGAAACCAGTCTTCTGAATTATGGCTCAAGACCAAATGTCTGCTCTTCTTGCCTGCAAGCACTAAACTTCCAGATAAAATGAATTTGCAAAACAGAGCTCAGATGGTGATTTTCTATACCATAGCTCTTCTTGGTTCTATTTCTGTCCTTGTTTCACTTCAACAGATGGCGTTGCCATCAATGTGGGATTCCCAAACTAGAGCCTTCAGCCTTTCACTTCTTCCTACTACAATATTAGCAGGAAAAAAAACGTTTGAAACTTTAGCATGAACTCTTATGTTTGCACAATTCCACAATGTATTTTGTGTATAAGAAAATATACTCAAATATAGAGTAGGAAAGGATCATTATGGAAATATTTGTAGGTAAGCAAAGCTTCCTAGAAGCTAACAAGAAACAGAGAAAAACAATGATTTCTGCTGGTGATTTTGTAATGCAGTGATGAATGTGATGGACTAAGACTGGGAAGGCACAGATTTAAGACCTGCCTGAGCCATGAAAGCTCACAGGGTGATTTGGAATCAGTCACTATTGCAATTCAATATATCTCATGGGGTTGTTGTTGCAGGAGGATAAATGCTCTCTATCTGTATCCTCAAACTTGTAGAGGAAAGGTAGGAAATCAATCAAATAAATATATGAAATCATTCTTAATCTGCCATGACAGTACAACATCAAGTGTCCCATTTATTTATTTATTTATGAGACTTATATACCGCTTTAAGTGCAAGCACTCTCTAAGCGGCGTACACCAGTAAGCAATGTATATATATATTTACATTGCCCCCAACAATCTGGGTCCTCATTTCTTGTTGATGTTAACAGGAAGTTTAAAAAAACATGAAAACAGCCAGGTGTTGCTTTTTGGCAAACACCAGGTACAATATTTCTGCCTTTCCAGTTCTCCCTGCATCTGGGCCAGATTGCACATTGCGACTGAGATGACTTTCTGGCTTAAAGAATCAGAGTACAACATGAGACCCAAAGTTGTTTTCCTTGCTTGGTTTGCAGTAAATTCCGCAGTGGCAAGACCTAAACCTGACCACAAAATTCCATTCCACTTCACTCAGCTTTATCCCTATTCATCATCCCTATCCCTACTCTATTCTTCCCTTCCTTTCCCCTTCCCTCCTTCTACAAATAAAAGGAGAGATAATTTACCATTAAGCCCAAATCTAGAAGAGTAACTGATTGTTGCCAAGTAATTCAGGATCTTCAAAACAATTTTGTAAAGTGATTTAAAGGAAGCTTACACATCTTGTATATTTCAGGACCAAAAACTGTAACCCCAGCTTCAGACAAGTCATGAAGCAGTTTATTTTTATTTATTTGCTAGAATTCCTCATTTTCTGCACAGTACAAATAAGGTTCATAAATAAATGGACTAAACAAAATCTTCAAATTTACCTTCAAATTAATTAAATTTAGAAACTAGAGAGGGTTTTGTGCAAATAATCAGAGCTTATGAACCTAAAAGAATTTAAAATTCAAATCCTCACAAAGAAAAAGATTCGCCAATGAAAATGTAAGAATCAAAATTCCTTCAGAATAAGGATTTGTAAAACCACATTGTAATTTCAAATTCCATCTGTCAATGAATATGTAATTTTACACCATACTGAAGCACACCATGAAGTGGATTAGAAAATTGCATGAGGAGGTTCCTTATACTGTATATATATTTATATATATTCTTTCATTCAATTGATTATCAGAGGCTGCCTCAACATGTCCCTGCAATTTTCTTGTGGCAAAGGTTTTCTGAAGTGGTTTGCCATTACCTTTTTCCCAGAGCTGAAAATAATAGATCCAGAGTTACCTGGCTGGCAATGTACCTAAGGCAGTTAGGACTAGAACTCACAGTCTCCTGGTTTCTAGCATGATGCCTTAACTACTACTTATCATAAGAAAGGATATGAGGAGAGAGAATGATGACAAAAGCCAACAAAACAATTGAAAGAGGAAGATCTAACCTTTAGGCCCTTTAACATCTGGTAGACCAGGAACTGGATCCTATCTTCAGTTAGTTTTTCATGCTTCATTATTTTACTTAAGTCTGTTCCCATAAATGGCATGACAAGGTAGCTAAAATGAAAAGGAAATTAAATATGAACTAAACCAAATTACATAGTCTAATTGTAACATTGTATAGTAGCAGGTTATCATGTATAGGCATGCCAGATTATGAAGATTTCTGCAAGACGCTATGAGGACAGTGTAGAAAAAATATGCCTATCTTTAAAAATGAGCCCTAAATTGGAACATAGGTAGCTCTATATTCCATGATTTTCATTGCTTAGCAAGAAACTTGGTTAAGTAAATCTGGCTTCCCCATTGACTTTGCTTGTCAGGTGAGCACATGTCCCCGGGACACTGCAACCGTCATAAATACATGCCAGTTGCCAACTGACCAAATTTTAATCACATAACCAGGGGGATGCTGCAATGGTTGTAAGTGTGAAAAAAGGTCATAAGTTATTTTTTTCAGGACTGTTTTAACTTTGAAAGGTCACTAAACAAATTGTTGTAAATCAATGACTATCTGTATAATAAAAAGGTCAATGTAAAAAGAAGTGCCTTGAAACCTTTTCTAAAATTCTAGAGAACTGGTGGCAAAATTTCTGTCTAAAGTCTATTACCTAGGTTGAGAGCAAGATAGAATTTACTTTGGATTATAAAATAACCATGTAAAAATTGCTCTTATTTTCCACTAAGCATTAGGTTATATAAAGCTTTCTGGGTTTTTTTTAATTGAACATCACAAATGGTTTATGCTCTAGAACAAGAAATGTTGATTGATAACATTATCTACAGTTGGCATAGTTTTATACTAGTACATAAAACTAGTCTCAACTAGAGGATGTAGGATGAAAACTGCTCTTTTGATCCCTCCATCATCTAACTGCTTCAGCTGAAATCCATTTATCAAGGCAAACCAGATCAAAATCAGGATGAGTGGAGACAACTGAGCATCTCATATACATACACATATAAAGCAGTCCTTCAAACCCACATTTCCAACATAAAATATATGAACCTGGTCTAGGTCAGGATTTTTTAAAAAAATTATTTATTGAACCAATTTATATAGTCACCTAGCTCACAAACAAGCAATTTTGGGCAGTGTACTGCAGAGTTAAAAAAGTTAATACATTAAAAATTATTTTTAAAAAAATCATAAAAATCAAGATAAAACAGAGTAATAGATGAAGGTTGTTAGTTTATTGAAACTAGCCAAGCAGAAAAGCAAATTAATCAAAGCCTGATTTGTTTTCTTCCTTTGCTTCAAATAATATATAGATTTTGGAGAACAGTATTAAAGCAAATCAGGGATTAATTATGAAGTTCAGCAATATTCAAAACTAAAACATAATAAACCCCAAAACACTCATATTACATTATGACTTATGTTAATATCTGTATAAACCAGGGAAAGATGCCATCAAGTCAATATTGACTCTTAGTGAACATATAAATAAATTTTCTCCAAGAAAATGTTGATCATAAGGAGATAAAACTAAACTAAATAGCTTACCTTGTGTTCTGCGACCTATTTTTTTTTTTTTTTTTTTTTTAAGCAGAGCTAATTCTTGGGATGGGAATCCACAGGAACATAGACAACAATGGATACTTCTTAGAGACAATGTAAATTGCTTCCATATTGCTATCACGAAAATCAATGGGAGATCATCCTATTGCCTGTCAATAAGATTTTTAATGGTGTAAACTGCCCCAAGGCACCATGTGTGAGTTGGGTGGCCATATAAATTTCTTAAATAAATAGTCAGTCATTCAAAGGAGAGGCACAAGTGTACTATCAAGACCAAGACTGATAAGAAGATGAAGACTGTTCCAATTGCTTTTTTGAAGATTGCAATGTAAGTTACTTGGAAGAACCAAGTCTTGGGGACTCTGAAATAGAACAGATAATGTGAGAAGCTCTGGCACATGGAAAAGTATTATCTTGCTTGCCAGAAGTAATAAAATATCATTTATGCTTAATTAGAAGTCCTACTAAATTAAATGGAATTCACCTAACCCAATGGTTCTCAACCTGTGGGCCAGGACCCCATTTGGGGTCGAACGACCATTTCACGGGGGTCACCAAGCAACGCAGTCTGCCATTTTTTCCCCTTTTCCTTAGCTGTGCTACTCCCTTTTATTCTATTGGCTTTTGAAAACCAATAGAATAGACTCTCTTGAATAGAGTCTAATTCTATTGGCTTTCAAAAGCCAATAGGAATTGTCCAGGCTGTCTCTGCCCTGCTGAGCCCGCCAAAAGTCCCATTCTGCAAACGGTGCTGCAAGTTGTCTGCAGCGAAGGCGAGCTGTCTGGAAGTTTCCACCCCTCCCTGCTGAGCAACTACTAAAAATGTAAGTAAAAGAGGGCCAGGGGTGGGAGGTGGGAGGCCGGCAGGCGCAGGGAGGGTTGCTGGCGTGCGTGGGGCCCGGCAGGTGCCTTACCTCCCTTGGGCTGGGCCAGCTGGTGGTCGGCCTGCGCTGTCTCTGCTGCTTGCCAGCTACGCCTTGGCCGGCGCAGGGGGCGGCACCATGCATGCACGGCGCTCCCGGGCAGGGAAAGTCCTCGACTTATGACCGGTTGGGTAGTCCTCGACTTACGACCGGTTGGGGAGTCACGGCATTAAAAAGGTTGAGAACCACTGACCTAACCCTTTAAACATGTCTAAGGTATCCTGCTATCAATTATTTAAATTCAAAGGGAAACAGTGACATTTGCAGAAAACTGATCAAACACATAAAAAGGGGTGGAAAAAAGTAGGCACTTTTCAGCTTCTGGAAACTATATTTAGCACAAGGGAAAAAGCAGTGCTTTCTGATTTAAAAAAAACACAGGATAAACAAGGAACCAGGCCTGGAGTACTGACAAGTGTTAAATAATGAAAAAACTGATGTGTGCTTTCCTCCATGATTTTATTATGGCTAATGTGCCACAGCTTATGAATATTGCAAAGCTGCTGAATAGCTCACAAGCCATTCCAACAATATAAGTAACTAATGACAAAAATATGGTTGAAGTAACTTAATAACTGTAGCCTTTTTACACTAATACATGTATGGTAGATATTACTGTATTCATGTGTAATAAGAAAATGCAGAACTTTAAATACAGGGTTAAAAGCTGACAAATAACGCAAAAATTCAATACTAATTTAAAACAGAGGGAGAGGAAAAATAAACTATTTATGGAAGCAATTAATTGTACAAACCCAAATAACTAATAAAAGTTTCATAGACTTCTCCAGCTACACGGGGAGGAAGAAATAGCACATTTCTGTTTTTGTACAGGTAGCTGTAATTTCCCAAGTGTTGCATACTACAGCACCCATCGGTCTCAGCCATTTTATATTTTAATTGAATACAACAGAAACTGTGAATCAATACCTGGCTACTGCCAAGTAAAAAAAGCTGCTTTAGGTTTCAAATGACTAAGCCAATCTACTTTTTAATAAATAACCAGATCTTTCAATACCTAATTATAAATAATAAACATGTTATTTTAAATATCAGATATTCAACTTCTTGACAATTAAACAAGAAGTTGCACATACACCTAACAAATGAATAAATGAACTACTTTTAGAATAAGATATACTACTTTAAATAATTCCATCAGCAATATTTTCATCACTGAAAAACATTTGAGCATTAATGTGCTAGTTTACATTTTATTTGGCAAACATTTGGTCTAAATGTCCTCCAGCTTTATTTAGTAAAATCTCAACCATTATAATTAGAAAAATATTTCAGAAGTTTTTCTACTTAAACCTATAGGGAGGTAACATCTAAGTTCATTTTGTGCAAAGACATAGATGATTGTGATGTCATTTTATTCTAGTCACGATTCTTGCAGCATAATGATAATGCTCATCAACATCTACATTAATATATCCTAATATGAAGAATCAGATTCCAAACTGTTCCAAGAACAAAGGTGGGCCACTAATTTTCTCAAGGGGCCACATGAGAAACTGGGAATGTTGTGGAGGACCACAGCCACCCGGCCAATGCACCACCTTCTGCAGATGCCAAACTGATATCCTGCCCCCGCCCCCCCCCATTTCTGAAGCCCTATTCTCCCACTGATACCAATGCCATGTGCTAGACTGGGATCGCCTGTGAATCATAAAATGCTCAGGTCTGCAAAGAAGAACAATAATTCCATCAATATAAATAAAGAAATTTGATATCAGCATCTGTTTTAGTGTAAATTATAACACAGAACTCAAAGTTTTCCCAAAAATTATACACTTACAAGTCATTAAATTTATCCAGTGAAGGATCTGGTGTGAAGACATCTAGAAGCCCAATTACCTACAGAAGGGAAACACAAATAAGTAAATAATGCCATTGCAATTATTTGCATGAGAAACATTAATTGCCAGTCTGCTTCCAGATCCAATTCAAAATGTTGATTATGATCTTTAAAGCCCTACAGGGCATGAGGCCAGGTTACCCTTTATCCCTTACATCAGCATGTTTCCCCCCCCCATCACATAGGAAAGATGTGTTGCAGATCCCATCAGTTAAAGAGTGATTGGCGGGGTCCACAAAGAAAGCTTTCTCGGCCTTTACCCCCCCACTCGTGGAATTCTACCCCCTACCAGAGGTGAAGCAGGTCCCCACTCTCTTGGCCTCCCATAAAGGTGTTGAAAACATGGCTCTGCACCTTTTCTTGGAGCAAGCAGATGGTGCCCTGAAAGTCCCCCACTTTTTAATCAATTTGTAACTTTCCTTGCCTTTTTTAAATTTTACATATTATTTTTTATGTTTTTAATATTTTATTGAACACCTCCCAGAATCACTTTGTGAAGGAGATGGATGGTTCTTAAATATGACAAATGATTAGTGAATTCAGGGTTTGTTATGTTGTAGGGAAATGGTGTCACATTTAGTATACTATATGTTGCATGCATTTCATGTATATAGGTTAGATCTGAACAACTGAGAGCAAGTTGCAAAACTAAGATTTCCCATCTCTTCAACTCCTCTAAAAACACTCCAGAGGTTAGAAAAGCTTCATATGAAGGAGGATATCAATGGAGATCAAGGTTTTTTTGCACTGCTCTCTTTGTGGGAATGTCTCTTTGGATCAGAAAAGAAAACTGTTGACTTGCAGCTTCCTTTGTGCATCTTCAGAGATTCCTCTACCAGAATTGTATATGCTCAAACTAACACCATTTTGAGGTAGGCAACACAAGGAAATAATTTTAAAGAATATATATCACAATTAAAAAAATAAAACACTCTCACTATATTGCCACCAGCTAAGTCTTGTTCATATGGAAGACGTGAAGCTCTTGTAGACATCATTCGTCCAGAAAGATTAACTATGGTCCTTCGCCACTAAAAGATTTCTACCCATTTTAGATTTGGTTTAGCAACACAGCATAGATACCCCTCCCCTAAATATTTAACGAATAGATAAAATATTACAACCCTGCAATTATCTCACATATTCTCATGAAAATTCATGACCCATAAGTGTTCAACTTAGAAATGACAAAGCCAGGAGCCAAAAAAAGGGGCTGAGCCTTGATTTACTGCAAGAAAATCCTGACCAAATTAACTTGCATGAAAACACAAACCTGCCTGATTCTTACCTACTAATTTACTTGCTTGGCAGAAAAATAGAAGATAATTAGTGCTGAAAAAGAGTAATTTTAATGGATTCAAAATATACTCCATTTGTTCCATGCTAAAACAAAAACTCTGAAACAGCACTTTAACAAAACTGTTATGGCTTGAATGGAACAGAATATTTGTAACTAGCAACAACACGGCATTCTCTTCCTCAGACCCCAGATTCACAATCAGTACTGATAATTACTAGACAAAACATGTAACGTTTAATTGGACAGATAATTAAACACATGGAAATATCAATTGGTATAACAAAAACCTTTGGTCCCTTTAGCTTTCAAAAATCTGACAAGGGAGCAAGCATTGTGCATAAAATATTATTGTTCAGACATGATGATAAATTATTATATAATAATATATGTATGTGTATGTGTATGTGTATGTATGTATATATGTATGTATGTAGGTAGGTAGGTAGGTAGGTCTTGGTGTATTTGGGTCTTTTCCCGTGTAAGATTGAGAGTATCTTGGTGACGTTTCGACGAGGTCCCACTCGTCATCTTCAGGCTGGGGTCTTTGGCTTCGTGCTTGTGCGAACAAAGTGTGATCGGAGCTGTTGTCTCTCTCTCTCTATATATATATCAGAGAGGACCCTCACCATAGCAGAAACCAATGTCCCTTCCAAAGGATTCAACTTTGCAGTCGCCCCCAAACGCATCCCCACTGAAAACATCATATGCGGAGTTGAAGCTACCCTACCAAAATCAACCCAGATGAAGCCAACAAAATCAGACTTGAAGTCACCAACGTCCTCCTCTCCAGCAATCCACCTAGAAGCAACTTACATAAAGAACAACAAAAAACACTCACCAACCTGAAGAAAGACAACAGCATAATCATTCTCCCAGCATACAAAGGCAACGCCATGGTAGTGATGAACACATCAGACTACCAAGCCAAACTATCCAACCTACTCCAAGAACCCACTTACAAACCTCTAAACACAGACCCCACCACCTACCTGGAAAAAACCACCAAATCCAAAATAAAAGCTCATCAGTGAAGAGATCCAGCACAGAATCATACCCAGAGAGAAATCATCCAGATGCCCCAAGCTCTATGGCCTCCCCAAGATTCACAAAGAAGGAACACCACTCAGACCCGTAGTCAGCTCCAAAGGCTCACCTCTACAGAATCTTGCCAAATTTCTCACCAAACAACTTCAGCCCTACATAGAATCAATCTCCTCACACGTACAAAACTCACTCCACTTCATAGAAACAATAAAGAAACAAAACCTACAACCCAGCAACCTACTCGTGAGCATCGATGTCACATCCCTCTTCATCCAAGTGCCTATCAAAGAAGCCTTGACAGCTATCCAAAACAAATATAACCCCCGTAAGCACGTCCTACATCTGACCAACCACTGCCTAACCAACACATACTTCATCCACAATGGACAAAGATACAAACAGATAGAAGGAGCACCTATGGGATCACCCCTCTCACCCATCATCACAAACCTATACATGGAACACTTCGAAACCAATGCCATAGACAAATCTGAACACAAACCCAAACTCTGGCTCAGATATGTAGATGACACTTTTGTAATTTGGCCACACGGGAAAGAAAAACTGGACAACTTCCTCACACATCTCAACAGCCTACAGCCCAAAATACAATTCACAATGGAAATAGAAGCTAACAACCAACTCCCCTTCCTGGACGTCCTAATCTACAAAAAACCCAATGGCTCCCTAGGACACACCATCTACCAGAAAAAAACACACACCAACCGCTACTTAAACGCACAATCCCACCACCACCCTGCACAGATCAACTCCGTAGCCAAGACCCTCATCTCCAGAATCAAACGCCTAGCCGACAAAGACCACGTGAAAACTGAATTACACACTCTCACAAACGTATTAATCTCCAACAGATTCCAAAGAAATACTATTACCAACCTAATCCAAAGGGAAACACCCCCCAAGGACCGAGACATAGAACAGTACAACGACATCACCCTCCTCCCCTACATCAAAGGCACCACAGATAAAATCAGCAAAATGTTCCACAAACACAATATCAAGACAGCCTTCAGCACCGACCAAAAAATAGCCAACATCTTAAGAAACCCCAAAGACACGATCCAGCTAGAAAACCAAGGAGTCTATGAAATACCATGCAAAATCTGCCCAGCCACATACATTGGACAAACTAATAGGAGAATAAATGCACACATCGCAGAACACAGGAACGCAGTCAGAAAAGAAGAAAAAACTTCCTCCCTCTTCTAGCACCTTAAAACTACAGGATATGAAACTGATTTTGAAGGAACCAAACTAATCTCCAAAACTGACCACCACAACAAGAGAATAATTATGGAAGCCATCGAAATAGAGAAACACCCGCACAACATGAATAAACGTGACAATACCTCCCGCCTACCAGACATCTGGAAACTAGCCCTAATCGACAAACGAGTCCTAGCCACGAAAACTGACTCCGGACCCAGAACAACACAGTACGCCACCACCATTCACCCTCCCAGACCCAAACCCAAGCCCAAACCCATCCCTCAGACGAAATGCAACCACCATCCAGAAGCCAAACCACGATGACATCACCAGCTGCTGAACCTCTCTCTGACCCCCACACAAAGCAAACGGACACACGCCATGAACACAGAGCTAGACCGCAAACTTGGAGCCAAACCAAAGTCCGGTATGTTACTTCACAGCCTTCAGCCCTGGACATCACATCACAGAACTCAGGAGGCTACAACGCCAAAGCTCAGGATGTTACACACAGCCAACTACCCAGGATGGTGCAACACAGAACTCAGGATATCACTACACTGAATCTCAGGATGTCATCATACAACCCATTACCCAGGTCGTTACAACACAAAAGACTAATGGGCACACAGCCAGCACCTCAATTACTCAGGATGTTACAAAACAGCTGAACAATCCACAAACAATAGCTCCTACACAGCCAACAATCCACCTACAGCAACTAAGCCAGCACTCCACACACCCCCACCAATATACAGTATATAGAGAGAGGGCAGCTCCGATCACACTTTGCTCGCACAAGCACAAAGCTGAAGACCCCAGCCTGAAGATGACGAGTGGGACCTTGTCGAAACGTTGCCAAGATATTCTCAATCTTACATGGGAAAAGACCCAAATACACCAAGACCTGCATACCTATACCCGTGAAAATCTACGAAAACATACATACATACATACATATGTGTCCACGAACACAGACTAGCTGTGAAAAGGGGCGAACAGCACTCCCAGATATGGACTCATATGGCGGAATTGGGCCACCGCTTTAATTTTAATGAGGTAAACGTCTTGGCTAGTGACAGTACAAAGGGAGGCCAACTGCTAAAGGAAGCATGGCTATCCAATAGCAGCTCTATCAACCGGCATATTGACCTCTGTCCGGCACACTTGGCACTTAGATCATGGAGTGCGACCAACCACCCATCTCGCTACTACCGGCACGACAACAAACCTAGCGAGAAAGCCACAGGTGATATGCCAACCCCCCAGTCAGCTCGGTACAATCCAGAAGAGGAGGGACAGCGACTAAGAATCCCCACTACCCCCGCAATGTTAACACGCTTGCAAAAAGCTAAGAGAGCGATAGAAATTAAAGTCCAGAACCGCTGCATTATGAACATCGGAGATATCCCACTTAGCGTGCAA